AATGGGTCCTGGTAGTCCCGTGAATATTCTATGAAAAATGATATTTTACCCGTGCGCATGCCGCACATGCAGCAGACCCATAAGGGGTGGGGGGAAATATTATTTGAGAGCCTGAGCCCCACCTGACCCCCGCCCCTCCCTCCCACAGGGCTCTTGTGGGGCCAGGGCGCGCTGCAGCTGTAAGCAGCAGTGGAGGAGCGGCTGCATGCCAAGTGCTGCTGGGCAGTGCGGGACAGAGGTGTTGTTTTAAACCCTGTTAGCCCTGGCCTTCCGCCACCTATGGCAGGCACACGCACATTGGCCCCATCCACCTTGAGAGTCCCTAAGTCCTGGCCCTCTAAAACCTCTTCCCCCTTACTCCCTATACAATTACCTTCTTCTGGTTGCCTAGCTGCATCCTAGCCATGCCCCCAGCAGCCTCTTGCATGCTGGAATGCCTCAAAAGCCCGGGTTTCCCCTTGCAGGCTGGAATGATGCCAGCCTGCAAAGGGAAACCTGTGCTTTTGTTCTGCATGTTTTTCTGGCACAGGCTCATGACCCTTAAAAATCATGATGTGGGGCTAATTTCACAGTATCTGCGCAATCCACAAAATCACGATTTTCTCAGGGCCCTAATCATTTGCCAGATCTCAAACCAACCTTAGTTCCTAGTTACCCAAGTGCTTCCTCCTCTGATGTGACCCATCTCAGAAGTGTCACAATCCAGCTGAGAACTGGTTCTTGCCTGTTCTAAACTACACACCTGCAAGTTAACCCTGTGTTGTGTTGGACTCCTCACAGGTGCCAAATACATTCAATACAAAACTGTATTTTATTTTTTTTTTACTGGCAGACATCAATCCAATACACCCACCACACACTGTCAGCGAGAAACTACCAGATGCTTTGCAAGTGCTTTCAGCTGCCTTGTGGCCATGACTCTGCACAATGTTTGTCCTGCTTCAACCAAGATCAGGACAACAATAAGGAGTTTCTTGGATGGGTTAGAATAGCTGCTGACCAACAGAAAGGCTAGGGGTGGAGGTGGGGGCAGAAGAAGAGGATGAAGCATCTCTAGAAAGATAAGAGGCCTGCAACAGATGGCATAATCAAGGAGGTCTCTTTCAAAACTGGTAAAGCGACCTTGGAATCACCCCCAACACGGGGAAGTTTCTAAATAATCCTTAGCGACTCCTGTTGTTGATGCCTACACATGCGGTGAATGGGCTTTTCAGAGGAAGGCCTCAATGTCTGTCAGCATGTTGGATTGTATGGAGCTAACAGCCCTTCATGGACAATTGATTCCCTGGCCCTGTGCCCAGAACATGAAGAAACCGGGAACGTGTTCATGAGTGAGTAATCACTAAGCGCTGACTCAGCATCATGTCACTTACAGTCAACTCATCCAGGCTGACACGAAGAGAGGGGAAAGGTCACTAGTAAAAACCTCTTCCACATCCCAGTGTTTCACCCATCCCCATGCTAGGTAAAGGCCTATGTCAGATATCCCCTCTGCCCCTGAAAGAGCCCCTGCATTTAAGTGTCTGCCCTCCTGACCTGTCTGGTGGGGGTTACCTCCATAGCTCTAGGCTTTGGAATCCCCCTGTCCTGAGGTGATGAGCAGGGAGCTCCCTCCAGGTACATTAACAGGTAGGTTCAAATCAGCTGCCCCTGCTAATCCCTTTGGGAGCTGGAAGGGAACTATCCCAATGTGACAGGCTGGAAGCTTCACCTGCCTATTTATGTTGGGCATATGACATGGGATTTATCTGCTTTGTCTCCTCCAGTGGAGGAGAATGTTCCTGCAAACACCTTTCTTCACTATGATGTCCACCATCCCCGTAGAGGGAGCCTTTTGGGGAAGCTGTCTCATTATGGACTATAAAGAACCCGCATTCTAGTCAAAAGAGCTGTGGTCTCCTCACGACCCTTTGAAGGACAGTGGCAAAAAGACAGGGGACCTAGAAAGGCACGACTCCGGGGCATTGGTGACTGTGAAGCATCTGCAGACTCAGACCAAGCAGCTCCCTCCTAGCTGCACCAAGTATGCTACAGGACAAGTCTGTACAGGTGTCTGTCCTCAGGCAACACATCACAGCCAGAGCCCTCTAATCACCGAAGAGGGCTGCAAAGTGATGCTGGATAAATCTAGTTGTATCCCAGGATACTCTGTCTCCACCCTTGACTATCTGAATACATCCACTGGGCCCAGGAGCTTATGAATGCTCTCATGGTAGTACTGAGTCAGGCTAGCCTTCCCTAGTCCCTGCTACCTCAGCAATCCCAGCCAGGCTGGATAGGATAGAAAGGGAAGAAGAAACGTGAATGATGCAGCTGCTGTGAAAAGCACACGATCAGGCCTGGTATGATCTAGCAGCAGGGGAGAGGAGCATGTTGAGGGCGGGTGCAAATGATGGCTCAGAGGAGTAGGAGAGGTCTTGCTCACTGCATGGATCCTTTCCAAGGAGTCAGAGGAGCACCTTCCCCCACTCCGCCCCACCCAGCTACTCTCCTGAATCAGAGCCCTTCAGCACATGACTGTCTATCACACGCCCCACCCCAATGCACACACTAGCTCTAGCAAGCGCGATCAGGGCTGCTAGCAGCAGTTGCAGAGAAGGGCCAGATAATGGGATTTCACCAGGTCAAAACCTTTTAGGGCTAAAAAAGTTAAAAATATTTACATAGCTATGGTGAACAGCAGAGAATCGACCAAGAGCCTCTGAAGGCTCATCAGTGAGTGCTGGGTCACTGAACAAGGCAGGGACAGACACCAGTGAGTACAATCCTGCTGCTGGACCATTAGGAGGCCCCCAAGTCAAACTCCTGAGACCACCTCTAACCAGAAAACCAGCCCCCCACACCCCTTGCATATAGGCCATAGGACCTTGCCTTATGTGTTTGGCACTATTGGAAGCAGCATTGCATCTCACTTCATTTCAAAGTACAAAGTCAAGGTGCAACTGAGACTATGCTGAAAATCCACTGGGAAACAGATTCCACCTGCTGCTTATTCCTGCCTGAGAAGTGACACATGTACACTGGCAAACAGAACATCCCTGGCTTCCAGGTGGAAGGGGCAAGGAGGGACTCACTCTCCACTAAATCTTTTTAGGTCCCACAACAGCTTCTGGCACTATGGAACCAAAATCCATGGCAAACTTTCCCTCCCCCTTCGTTACAGTTCTTCCACCAATGGGACATTTCTAAATAGAAGATTTTCATCTTTCAGCAATGCCAGCAATGGTCAAAAACACCCCACACTACACCCCTTACAAGACACCTTCACCTCCATCTCCTCAAAGCCAGGAACTAGCTGTCATGAAGGTGAGGCCACTGGTTACCTCTCCTAGTGGAGATGGAACAAAGCGACTGAGACTGGTCCTGAGAACTGGATCTCAAGAATGAAACACAAACACAGGCACTCACTGGACTTGCCTTTCTTCCCTGCTGCCTCTCTGGCTTTTGCAGTCAGACAAGCAAAGAGAAACTCGCATGCTCTTTAAAAGCAATGTGAAACATGTGTCTACTGCATTCATTGCCAGAAGTCACAGGTGGGCAATTGCAGACAGAAGTACACTCAGGCAGCAGGCACTAGAATGAGACTGCTGGTCTCACACTTCTCCTTGTTTCATCTCATCTCCTTGGCCAGCCCACATGGAAGGGGGCAGCCACCTTCAACATCAACAATGCAGTAGTTTCTTTTTAAACTTCTGGAAAGCATGAATGTCCCCATCATGCTTGATCACACAATTGCAGCGAGACTCAGAGAATCAGGATTCCTGGGTTCTACTCTGAGATCTGTCCTCAAGTGCATGAGAGACTTTGATTCACATTCTATCACTGTCTCAGTTTCCTAATCTGCAAACTTTGAAGTAATAGGAAAGACAAGCTGCAGCCCTTATTCATTAGACCTTGGATATTAGAATTTGTGCTTTGAGATCCACAGATGACAGGAGCCATCTGTTTCTATATATCAAACTAGCTGCTTTAAACAGACCACTGTTTCAATCAACCCACAAATAAATGCACACATGCAGAAATGGATGGAGTTGCAGTCTGGATTTTTCTTTGCTTTTTGAATACCCAGGGTCACCAGTTTTTATTTGCTCAACTGTCGGATGCGCCCTGTCCAAGGATGCTCACACTGGACACTAAAGGGTACTGCTCCTTGCTTACCTTCACAGATCATCACACTTCTCACAAACTCACCCAAAGAACATTTCATTCACTTGCTTTCACATTTTCTGTGTGAAACTCAGTCATCTCTCTCAATGCTGAACTCCCAGGTGGAGTCAACAATCCTGTCACACCCAGGATTATCCCCAATCTGGCAACAAGTGGCATGGCCAATAATTCCAAATAGTTCAGAGAGGCTACAGAGGCAGATGTCCCCAGACACGGTCCTAAAATACAACTGTAGTACGATGGGTCAGCAAGTAATGCATTGCTTCAAACTGGATTCCTACACAGAATTGAGCGTGTTTCTGCTTTTGATAACGATTTTATAAAGATAGCAGAAGCCAGCAGTCATCTCCAATAAGGCATTTTTAGAGGACCTGGTGGGGAAAGGTCTTTCTAGATCCTAGTTCTAAAACTCTAGTAAGCACCCTATTTCCAAGACAAATTCAGATCAGCTCCTCAGCTGAACAGCGTGCCATTTACTTCTTCTTGGGCAGGGTTCCCACACACTCTCCAACTTTTCTTGTTCACTCTGTCACAGTCCCAGGGGCAGGGTAGCATCCAGCCTCCAGCCAAGAGGAGGGTAACTCCATCCAGCATGTTACAAGTGAGCTCCTCCTCTTTCACTTGAAGGTTAGGCATGTCCCACTGTGCCAACTAGGTGAGTGGGGGCCCAGCAATAGAGTGGCCTGAAAATAAACTCCCAGCCCCAGGTAAGAATTAGCAGAATTATTCAAGTTGGACCTCACTGGAGCAAAGAATCTGGTTCATGAATCTGCAAATCACCCTACCTACCAGTCTTTTGGCCATACCACTAGGCAGGCTGAAGGAGAACTTACCCACTGAGGACCACAATGAAGTCCATGACGTTCCAGCCATTCCGCAGGTATGAGCCCTTGTGGAAAACGAATCCCAGAGCAACGATTTTAATCCCAGCTTCAAAACAAAAGATCCCGATGAAGTAAGGCTCTGTCTTCTCCTGCAGAAAGGGACCCAGCACATTGGTAAGAAGGGGAGAGGCAGCAAATGTCCAGGGCACATGTACAGCTTGCAGCCATTTTACCAGTATTTAACACTGAGCTGCCATGCCCAAAATTCCCTGCTGGGCCCCATTCAGAGATCCCCCTTCCCAGCACATGCCTAAACCCCTCTTTAACCCACAGCACTGAATGATAAGCTGTGGAGTTCTGCCACTGTCTCACTTGCCTCCCCCTCCGATGTCCAGCTGGCAAAATCTTTCTGAAATCCCCATTTATAGTGTCCCAGGTCCACCCAGAGGACAAACTCCCCTATCCCCAGGTATTCTACAGGAGGCAGTGGAGGGGTAAAATCTTCCTGAGGCATAAAAGTTGGAGAGAAAAAAAGCTCCCACCCACTTCTGTCCTACTCCAAAGCCAGCCCAGGATCTCCATAATCAGGCAGATAGCAAAGGGACTGCACCTGCAGCTTTCTGATAAGCAGTAGGCATCAAAGGGTTAAACCTCAACAACTGAGGTCATGTGCATGTAGCAAACTTCCCAGGCCCAGCAATGGTACCTCAAGTGCATGAGGCTGCTCTGTAGAAGCTGCCTCCTAAACCAGGAGCCCAGGTAGCCATGTCTGCACAGCACTTCAAACAAGCTATTTAGCACCCTGAGGACCTGAGGCCCACCTGAGCCTATACTGCTTCCAGCATAGGAGACAGCCTTCCTGGATCAACATGGTACACCTGAGGGCACTATTGAAAGGCATGGTAGGTTTACAGCATACACACAGCCTGATGGACTGGTACGGGTTCCTCACCACGCTCAACACCCACTAACACTGAGACAACCCCAGAGCTGATTCCAGAGGAGAAGGAGGGTATGAGAGAAAGGCACTTACTAATCTTCGGGACATAGGTGTCTTGTCATCCCCCGGCAGGTGCTGCTCCAGCGCCAGGACGATGCAGTTCGCAATGATCGTGGCCAGAATCATGTATTCAAAGGGAGTGGGAGGGTGAGTTAAGGAACTGGAGTAAAATAGCAGAGGTGGAACAAGCCTCTAATTCACTGCCTGCCTTTCTTCCTCAGCCTTTGTCACTTCATCTGCTGGGCACTGTTTGTCAAATAATCATCGTTTCTCCCTGCGTGCACACACAGAGGGAGCGGCAGGGAGATAAGCTTTCATTTACCACTGCTCCTGAGCATCAGGGTAAGACCTACTGACAAAGCTTTCTGGAAATGACAAAAGCAATGAGGAAAGAGCCGAAAGCACCACTGAGCACTTCTACACCTTCCAGCAAGCAACCCGCTGGGGCCCAGCCCTCCCCTGTCACCAGTCAACAGCAAAGCCAGCACTGGAGACCAAAGGGGGCAAGTGCCCATGGTATCCAGTATACCAGGTAGCTGCCAGAAAATCAAGTCAAGCTCCTCAGAAAGGAGGCAGGAGGGATCCTTAAACGGGAAGCATGCAGGAAGCAGGTTCATATCGTCTAGGACCAGAATACAGAAACAGGTATGTACAAAGGTAGAAGTTTGCTCACAAGCCCCACTTTGAAGCCCAGATGATCTGTCACCTGAACCAGCAAATTTGCCAGGCTGGAATGCCAGATTCAAATAGCCCACTATTTCCAGGTTCAGGGAAGTACTTTACCTTCTTCTAGCCAGGTCTCAGCCAGCCAACCCCCTGCTGTCAATTCCACTAACTGTGGTGAGAAACAGCACATTCTCTTGTAGCCTTGGAAAATCCTTTCTAGCCTTGTGCATAGACTCACTCCTAAGCCCTACCCCATCCTGAGGCAGAGCTTTCCTCTTCTCTGGGGACATGCCTACCCTACAGGTACTCATGATGGCTTTAAGAACAGCTTCCAGGTTAGAAGTTAGCCTCAACTGACTATTTATAAAATACTGGCTCAGCCTACCATGCCTGGGAATTACATGCCAGCCCCTACCCTGCCATTTTTGGCTGAGATTTTAGAAAAAAAGCAGTAGTGAGACAGGTAGAGAAATACTGGGATAACTCAGGTCTGGTTTAAGCAAGGATGCAGTGCTGACCCTCCCTTGTCATGACCAGGAGTGAAAGCCTCCCTGCAGTGAACAGTGAGGATGTGTTCTTCTCTGCTGGCGTGCATGGGTTTCTCAGTGAAGTCTGATAGAGCTGCTTGTCATTTTCTGTTGTATTGCGCATCTTATCCACCAGATGCAACTGGAGAATCTCATTTAGGCACACCAGTTTGTATCACTGGCGGGACTCCTTTCTGGCCATATAGTTCAGATTATACTTGGCATTACTCAGCAATCAATACTTGCTCCAATGCTCTTTAGTTTTTGCATGGACCCTCTGCAAGCATTGAGAGAGATTTAGACTGGTTGAGACACCTCTCTTTATTTTCCAGGATTTGAAGGGGGGATATAGACATCTTGGTGCTTGCAGGGGGAAATGTGATTTTGGATGGGTGGGAATTGACTTGAGATAAAATTACAGTTCTCTAGGCCAGAGACTCTCTTGATAATACTGCAAAGCATAGCACTGAGCACAGGAGTGGTACTTAGATTATATTAACCCACACAAAATGCACATGCCATTTTGTATTGCAGGGTGTTGTTATATATGGTTTTAGTTAAATAGGATTGTGTGTGCATTTATATATATTATATATATAGTATCTTGTTTTCTGTTCCCTGCCTGGGTAAGCTGGAAAGGGACAGGAGATACTGCACATGGGCAACTACCTAGGGCTTTGTTAGGCCTGTTGTCTGAGGATACCCCTGTTGTTTAGTTTAAATAAAAGTGAATGGGGGTCAGCCACATAAGTAGGAGTCATCAGACCCCCAGCCTAATTGGCTAACTGGTCAGTGTTCTCTTTTTTAAATTAATTGGTTAAGAGGAAAACTATAAGCAAGACAAGCCCCGATTGGAAAAGCTTGTGTGATGCCATGTATATAGAAACTTCTCAACTAAGATGCAGCTCTCTTTTTCTCCAGGGGCTGCTGAGACCTGAAAAGCTGAATTGGGAGCTGGCAAAACTGCTCCCCATGGGGGTCTCCCCACTTCACTGGAGAAGTGAACTGAAGCTATGTGAAGGGAAAGCCTCAGGTACTGGGAGAGAAAGTCTGTCTCAGGGCTTAATACCCTTATTCTCTCCCTCTTCTTTCCCCTTTTGTTTTTTCTGGGTTTTGAGTGGGATAATACTGTGGGAGGTGCTAATCCCTGAAGCAGACTAGCCAGGGTTGGAGCCTGGAATGTTTTAGTTGCTGTTGCAACTTCTTTTGGTTCCAGCCTAGCTGTGTGGCTGAACCCCAGCTGTGGTTTGCTGGCAGAGCTGGGCCAGGATTACAAGCCTAGTGTGCTTTAGGCCAGGGCTGAGTGTCTGGCACCTATTAGTTGGTGTTGCAACATCTTTTGATTTCAGTCTAGCTGTGTGGCTGAACTCTAGCTGTATGTCTTGCTGGCAATTCTGACCAGAATTAAGGGCTTGGCAAATCTGAGCCAGGCTTAGGGCCTTTACTGGGATAATGCCATGGGGGTATTAGTCCCTAGAGCAAATTGACCAGTAATGGAGTCCTGCCAGTTATTGGCCTGCATAGGCCTGACGCCCTTTTTGTTGTTTCATAGCTAGGGGATTTTGTTTATGTGGGACACCCTAGCCAAATTCAGTGATCCCAGATTTCTCTGGGGGCTCAAGCCACAGTAAAACTTGAACCTGGCCCTAGTTGATGCTGACTGGTGCCTAGCAGAAGGGTTAAAAAAATACAGCAGGCAAAAGTTCTATTGACTGGGCCTGAGAGATGAGAGGATGAGAACTGCCCCCTGATACCTGCCCGAAAACGAGGAGTCATCACAGAGAGCTACCATGCTTCAGGATGTAAGGATTTTCTAAAGCTTTGGCTTTTGCTCAGCTCTGCTCCCATTCAGTTCAGTGGGAATGATCTGAATGAGGCCAAAAGGAAGCCAACGTTCAATGGTTCTGAGTGTTTGAGGACCCTGAGTGCAGCTAGGCATCAGGGATCAATGTCAGAAGATTCAGTGCTAGTTGTGCTTGCAGGGGTCACCATGCTGACTCCTACCTTAGTTCTGCCAAGAATGCCAACCAGAACCTGCTCATTCTCTACTTCCCCATGAGCACTAAGCCGAGCAGGGAAAAATCCCACTCCAAAGCCATAAAGCTCCTGCTTTTTCCTCCTCCAAATCACTGCCTCCATAATGAGTGAGGACTATCCCTCTGAAAATGAGTTGCCAGAGGGAGAGGTCTGCCAGTGTTTGGCTATGGACTGGCTAAAACCCACCACACCTGTTTGGTCTTGTCCTCATT